CACAGGTAGTGCTAATGATTTCCTATCCCTAACTTCACCTGCTTATAACAACAGAACAAACGCACTTGACAGAAATCTGAAACACGGTTTTTTAGTCAAACGTGTTCAGAAGCGAATGCGTTCTTAATTGGCTTCCTCCGTTAATTTGTGGCTGGACTGGACTTAGATTTACAGTGACACCCACTTTCACAAAAAGCTTCTCATTTCTAAATCGCGTTAATATTTTGATTTTTTAAAAGAAATAAGCAATTATCTGGAACTATTAAGCTTTCAGAAAATGTACGGTTTATGGGGATATTTGTGAAAGGCAAAAGCGCTAGTGCCGATCAACGCGAGGAGGGTGCTTGAGGGTGGGTGATACCTTAAACTTAACACCAAATATCGATCCTGTCTAGCAAATAATCAGGTCGGCAATATTTTTGTTTGTACCTTATGTCCTTGCTTCTCTTTATGACCGCAAAATTGAGGCCAACTGCAGCGAAACGTCCGCGCAATCGACGGGGCACTCGACGTGTGTCAAGAAATGCCGTTTTTAGCCTTCCAAAATCCTGAATTCAAGATTTCTTCTGAGTTCGACCTTTCGGCTTTCCAAAATTATGAGTTCAAGATTTTGGCTTTCGAAAATCGTGAATCTAAGATTTTGGCTGACTTTTAGGTTTAGGCTTTCCAAAACCATCAAATTAATATATTCGCTTTCGAAAATCCAGAATTCAAGATTTCGCCTGACTTCGAGATTTTAGCTTTACAAATTCGTGAATTTAAGATTTTGGCTGACTTTAAGATTTTAGCGTTCCAAAACCCTGAATTCAAGATTTTTGCTTTTAGAAACCATGAATTCAAGGTTTTGGCTGATTTCAAGATTTTGGCTTTCCAAAATCCTGAAATCAAGATTTTGGCTGACTTCAGAATTTTAGCGTTCCAAAATCCTCAATTCAAGGTTTTGGCTTTCCAAAATCGTGAATTTTAGATTTTGGCTGACTTCAAGATTTTAGTTCTCCAAAATCCTGAATTCAACAAGTTAGCCGACTTGGAAATTTTGGCTTTCGAAAATCGTGAATTCAAGGTTTCGGCTGACTTCAAGATTTTCGAGTTTCAAAATCCTGAATTCAAGATTTTGGCTGACTTCAAGATTTTGGCTTTCCAAAATCGGTAATTTACGATTTTTGCTAAGTTCAAGATTTTCGCTTTCCATGATAATGACTTCAAGATTTTTGCTTTCCAAAGTCCTAAATTCAAGGTTTGGGAGACGTCAAGATTTAAGCGTTCCTAAATCCTGAATTTAAGATTTTGGCTGACTTTAAGATTTTACCGTTCTAAAATCCTGAATTCAAGATTTTGGCTGATTTCAAGATTTTAGCGTTTCCAAATCCTGAATTCAAGATTTTGGCTGACCTCAAGATTTTAGATTTCCAAAATCCTGAATTAAAGATTTTCGCTGACTTCAAGATTTTAGCGTTTTCAAATCCTGAATTAAAGATTTTGGATTTCCAAAATGGTGAATTCAAGTTTTTGACTGACTTCAAGATTTTGGCTTTCGAAAATCGTGAATTCAAGATTTTGGCTGACGTTTAGATTTTGGCTTTTCCTGAATTTAAGATTTTGCCTTACTTCAAAAGTCAAAATCCTTATTTCAAGATTTTCCTTGACTTTAAGATTTTGGCTTTCGAAAATCCTGAATTGAAGATTTTGGCTGACTTCAATATTTTAGCATTTCAAATTCCTGAATTCCAGATTTTGTCTTAGTTGAAGATTTTTGATTTTCAAAATTCTGAATTCAAGATATTGACTTTCCAAAATCCCTGTTTCAAGATTTCTGCTGACTTTAAGATGTTGCCCTTCCAAAATCATGAATTCAAGATTTTTGCTGACTTCAAGATTTTAGCGTTCCAAAATCCTGAATTTAACATTTTGGCTGACCTCAAGATTTTAGCGTTCCGAAATCCAAAACTTTGAATTCAAGATTTTGTGTGATTTGAAGATTTTACCTTTTCAAAATCCTGAATTCAAGATTTTTGCTAACTTTATCATTTTAGCTTTCCAAAATCCTGAATTCAAAGTTTTGCCTGACCTTAAGATTTCAGCTTTCCTAAATCCTCAATTCAAGATTTTGGCTCACTTCAAGAACTTTGCTTTCTAAAATTATGAATTCTAGGTTTTGGCTTACCACAAGATTATAGAGTTTCAAAATCTTTAATTCAAGATTTTCGCTGACCTTAAGATTTTTGCTTTCACAAATCGTAATTTCAAGAGTTTGGCTGACTTCAATATTTTGGGTTTCAAAAATCCTGAATTAAAGATTTTGGTTGCCCTCAAGATTTTAGCGTTCCAAAATCCTGAATTCAATATTTTGTCTGAGATCAAGATTTTAGATTTCCAAAATCCTGAATTCAAGATTTTGGCTGACTTCAAGATTATTAAGTTCCAAAATCTTGAATTTAAGTTTTTGGCCGACATCAAATGTTTGGTTTTCCAACATCCTGAATTCAAGATTTTGGATTTCCAAAATCTTCAATTCAAGATTTTGGCAGACTTCAAGATTTCGGTTTTCCAAAATCGTGAATTCTAGATTTTGACCTCAAGATTTTAGCGTTCCAATATCCTGAACTCAAGATTTTGGCTTTCCAATAATATACGATTTTAGCTGAATTCAAGATTTTGTCTGACTTCAAGATTTTCGCTTTTCAAAATCATGAATTCAAGATTTTGGCCCTCTTTAAGCTTTTAGCGTTTCAAAATCCAGAATTGAGGATTTGGGCTGACTTCAACATTTCGGCTTTCCAAAATCGTAATTTTAAGATTTTTTCTGACTTCAAGATTTTAGCTTTCCAAAATCCTGAATTCAAGATTTTCGCTCA